GGAGCATCGAAAAGGTGTAGAGGCGTGTCACCTGGAAAAACACAAGAAGGAAACCATATAGTCTGGCCTCTCGTGGCCTTCTTGGGGGAGCTCTTCTGGGTCTTTGGGGGGCGGCCAGCTTTCTCGGGCGCCGAGGTGTCGCCGGGAGAGATCATCTCGGACTCGTTCTGGGCCCGTCTGAGAGCCCTCCCGGTGCGCAGCAGGCCGCCTAGACCAGGTGCCATTTTGAAGGGGTCGTGGGCCGTCTCGAAAAACTGAACATGCAAGAAAACCGTGGAAAACACCAGGAACACCATAGATCCTTGCATTTGGAAGCCTTCTTGGGGGGTTCTTCTTGGTCTCTGGGAGCGGCCCGGCGCCTCCTCGCTGCCACCTGTTCGGTGCTGGGACCATGTCAGGCGTCCTGAGGTCGGTTTCGGGCGGCCTCGCACGCCCAGGAATGGCTCGGGGAGACCATCTTGGACCCCTCTTGACCGGTCTGGAAGCCTCTTTGGAGGCATATGAGGCCGCTCTGGGGCCATTTAGGGGGGCTTTGGTGGGCCGTATCGACACATCGGGACATCGGAAATGTAGGGGCGCCAAAAACAATTGGAACACACACACACACACGTGGAAAACCACAATTCCTATCCTCTCGGGGCCTTTTGGGGCACGCTCTTCTGGGTCTTTGGGGCCGGCTCGGTGCCTTCTGAATTCAATTTGGTCGGTGGCGAAAACGTCTTGGGCCCTTGGATCGTTTGTGGGCGGCCTCGGACATCCAAGAGTCGGCCGGAGGGGAGCCGTCCGGGGGGCGGGGGGCAGAATGCGCAGGTGGGGCAGCGGTCGGGGCAGTGGGGCAGCATGTCCTCTTACCATCTTTACATATGTGTGTGCGACCATACATATACACAGGTTATATATATATATATATATATATATATATATATATATATATATATATATATATATATATATATATATATAATATATATATATATATATATATGTGTAATATATATATATATATATATATATATATATATATATATATACATACATACATACATATGCATGTATATGCATATGCATACACATATACATAAACATATACATATACATAAACATATACATATACATATACATATACATATACACATACATATACACATACCTATACCTATACCTATACCTATACCTATACCTAGACCTGGGTCTAGACCTAGACCTATACATATACATATACATATACATATACATAAACGTATACATATACATATACATAAAGATATACATATACATATACATATACCTATACACATACGAATACATATACATATACATATACATATACATGTACATGTACATATACATATACGTATATATATACATAAACATATACATACACATACACATATACATATACATATACATATACATATACATATGCTTATACATATACATATGCATATACATATACATATGCATAAACATAAACATATACCTATGCATGTACGGATACATATACGTATACAAATACCTACACACATACATACACATATACATATACGTATACATATACATATACGTATACAAATACGTATAGCTATACATATACATATACATATACACATACATAAACATAAACATAAACAAAAACAAATACATATACATAAACATACATATATACACATACATAAACATGGACATATACATGCACATATATAATTACATATACACATACGTGGGGGGCGTTGAGAACGCAGCCGTCGTTTCAAGCCGTTGTCTCAAAGGACAAAGATCGACGGCCCCCAGCGAACGTCGAGCGCCCCTCCCACCCAGAGGGCGGGCATGCGCGGCAGCGCTCCTTGATTTCTCGCGCCCCCCCCCCCCCCCGCGCCAGCGCCCCTTTCCACCGCGATCGAGAATCGAGGCAACCGACGCCTTACAAACGGGTGCGGCTGGCCGTTTTCGACACCGACCCTCCGCCCGTTTGGAACAGGCCGCCGCCGTCGGTTTCCGTTTCGCACAATGAATTTTCGGGGCGGAAGCGCCGCCCGTTTGGGCGCGGCCGCCGCCGACGGCTTCCGCTCCAAAGTAAAGGAAGGAAGTGCCCTTGCGAGTCTCTTGTCCTGCGCCTTGCCCTGCGGCGCGTCGAAGCTTCTGATGGACATTCAATCGGGCGCCCGATGAGTTCTGTCCAATCTTCATATGAGATTGCCATCGTCACCACCGTATAGAAAACCAAATCGGTTCGGCGCATCTTTCTGAAAGAAGGCGAATGCAAAGTTGCGTTGTGCGTACAAAACGACGAAGGAAACCCATCTCGAGTTGCAAACGGACGATTTGTAATGAGGGGGTTCCCCCAACGATGATCACCCCGATGCGGCGGCGACGGGTCCGTCGGGGACAGATACGCAAAAACGATCTGTCCGCCGCACGGAACTATTGAGAAGTTATTGTAAAAAGTTGTGCGATGTGCGATGGGCGCGCCGTGGACAGTGAAGTTCAACCACGTGTGGCGCGCAATTTTTTCGGTGCGACGGCGACGGCGGGTGGCCAGACAGATGCACAGTACGTAACCAAGCACGTTCGCCGACGGTGCGACAGCGACCGGCGAGGCCGCGACAGATAGACAGTTCGTTTGTTTCCGGAGAACTCCTAAGATAGACTGTGGGAAGGATGGGGAAGCCATTCTGCTTCACCCTTGGTGCCTTTGCAGGGCCGCTTGGGGCCGTTTCGCCTGAGACGTCGTCGCAACATGGAGACGTCGGCCCGAGAAAAGCCAACGTGGCCTTCACCATGCACACACATCTCTGCAGCGCACGCAATGGCCAAAACACAATATAAAAATCCCACCAGCCCTTTGGGCGTGAGTGGTTTAAAGAGCCCTCTCTGTCCTCAACCCCCTTCTTCCCCTTGGGGGAGGGGTTTACCCCTCCCCCTACCCCCTCCCCCTGGGCCTGGAAGGGGCGTTTCGCGGGTCGTTGGGTCACCGAAGATGGCCTAAGATGGCGCCAAGAGGGCCCAAGAGAGCTCAAGGTGACCTCCAAGATCGTTCAAGATAGCCCTCGATGACTCAATATAGCTCCCAACATGCGTACAAGACGCTCCAAGACCGCCCCAAGACGGCTCCACGTGGTCACGGGGCCCCCGATGCATCGTGTAATTGTTTTATACCATCGGAGGCCATGTTAAGTTCAAAACTCAACGGTCAAAACCCAATGTAAATATTCACTATCTGGGCCCAAGAGGCTGCCACATAAGCGTGGAATATATACAACCAATACAATATGCGAGGCGCGCGCGCGCTGGTGACCCGCGCGGGGCCGGGTCACCCGCGCGCGCGATGCATCCTGTATTGGTTTTATTCCATCGGAGGCCATGTTAAGGTGAAAACTCAATTGTCGAAACCCAATGTAAAAATTCATTCTCTGGGCCCAAGAGGCGGCCATATAAATGTGGAAAATATACAAACCAATACAATATGCGAAGCGCGCGGGCGCGCTGGTGACCCGCGCGGTGCCGGGTCACCCGCGCGCGCGCGCGATGCCTCCTGTATTGGTTTTATACAATCGGAGGCCATGTTAAGTTGAAAACTCAATGATCAAAACCCAATGTAAATATTCATTCTCTGGGCCCAAGAGGCGGCCATGCCAACGTCAAATATAGAAAACACAATACAATATGCGAGGCGCGCGGGCGCGCTGGTGACCCGCGCGGTGCCGGGTCACCCGCGCGCGTGCGCGATGCCTCCTGTATTGGTTTTATACAATCGGAGGCCATGTTAATATGAAAACTCAATGATCAAAACCCAATGTAAATATTCATTCTCTGGGCCCAAGAGGCGGCCATGCCCACGTCAAATATAGAAAACACAATACAATGGGCGAGGCGAGCGCGGGCGCGCTGGTGACCCGCGCGGGGCCGGGTCATCCGCGCGCGCGCGCGCGATGCATCCTGTATTGGTTTTATACAATCGGAGGCCATGTTAAGGTGAAAACTCAATTGTCCAAACCCAATGTAAAAATTCATTCTCTGGGCCCAAGAGGCGGCCATATAAATGTGGGAAATATACAAACCAATACAATATGCGAAGCGCGCGGGCGCGCTGGTGACCCGCGCGGTGCCGGGTCACCCGCGCGCGCGCGCGATGCCTTCTGTATTGGTTTTATACAATCGGAGGCCATGTTAAGTTGAAAACTCAATGATCAAAACCCAATGTAAATATTCATTCTCTGGGCCCAAGAGGCGGCCATGCCAGCGTCAAATATAGAAAACACAATACAATATGCGAGGCGCGCGGGCGCGCTGGTGACCCGCGCGGTGCCGGGTCACCCGCACGCGCGCGCGATGCCTCCTGTATTGGTTTTATACAATCGGAGGCCATGTTAAGTTGAAAACTCAATGATCAAAACCCAATGTAAATATTCATTCTCTGGGCCCAAGAGGCGGCCATGCCAGCGTTAAATATAGAAAACACAATACAATATGCGAGGCGAGCGCGGGCGCGCCGGTGACCCGCGCGGGGCCGGGTCACCCGCGCGCGCGCGCGATGTATCCTGTATTGGTTTTAGACAATCGGAGGCCATGTTAAGTTGAAAACTCAATGATCAAACCCCCGTGTAAATATTCATTCTCGAGGCCCAAGAGGCGGCCATGTAAACCTTGGCAGGTCTTAGCAGCATTTCCATTCCCCTCCGTTTGGGCAACTGGAAGAAATGGGCCGCCACCAATGGATAGACCCCCCCCGCCAGTCAAGCCGCGCCGAGGGTGCGACGGCGCCCGGGGGATGGGCAGATAGACGGACAGAAGATGCGCAGACGTATCGGTGCGACGGCGCCTGGAGGGATAGATGTAGATACATGGATACGCCGCGCCAGCCAAGCAAAGCCGACGGTGCGGCGGCGAACGCTTTTTGAATATTGACCAGAACGGAAATCAATACAGGGGAACCCCCTTATGATTTGTACAAACGCTAATGGTTAGATACTGAACTAACGGTTGACGCAGCGGTCAAAGGCCTCGTTGGGCGACATGCCCGAGCTGCTTCGCCGCGGAAAACGAATGCCGAAATCGCAAGTTGCCCACGTGAGTTTCGAGGCGTTCGGGGGCAGCAGCGCACCGCGCAGCGCCCTTGCGGGCCACGCCTGCCGCGCGCGCGCAACGCTGCACTTCGTCTGAAAATGCAACGCCAACGCAGCCGCGGCCTGAATGGAATCGAAATCCCCCCCCCCATCCCACGCGCCCCACCCCCCGCCCCGGCCCCCGCCCCGCCCGCGCGGCTAGTTTCCGTCGAGCGCCCAAGATCGTCGAGGCCCTTGCGCTGCCGAGATCGCAGCTCAAGATGCGATATTGCACGCTGCCCCCAGAGCGGGACAGGGGCTGATCTTCGCGAACCGCATGCAGCGGCCCGCGCGACAGCGAACTCAGCTGAGCACCCACCTTGTTGAACTCGTTCACGGTGGGTGCAATTTCGCCGAACCCTCGGTCCTCGTGCGGAAGTGCGACTGCTCGAAGGTGATGACGAGGTGCAATGGGTCGCATTAGAAACTTAAGATCGGGGTGGACGTCGGCAAGCTTGCCGCGCAACTCCCTGGACGGCGCGTCGCAGGAACCCGCGACAATTTGCCGGCGGCGGTTCGTGAGCAAGCCCTCATCCGACGCCCGCTCAATGTACGATTTAGCTCCCGTCGGCGCCGCTGTCGCCGTCAAAACCAGCGGGGCCCCCCTATCTCCAGATCGCAGCAAGGGCCCTTCTGCGCGCCCCTGCGTCGGGAATGGCTGCGAAATCCCGGACAGCCCCGGGCCCGCGGCAAATTCTCGCGACCGCGCGCCCCCGCGAGGGCGCGCGCGGCGCAGTCGAGGCCCGCGCTCTCAATTTCCTCGCGCCCGAAACATTGGTCCAGCGAGCTGGCCCGGAGCACCTGCGCGAAGGGGCCGGGCATCAGTCTTCCAGCGATCGAGCTCACACCCCCATCCTCGCGCGGGATCTGGCAGGCGACCTCGTTCCCCGACTCCTGGAACCAACGTGCCAAGCGGCGCCGCGCGGCCACCGCGCGACCCCGCTCAAAAGGAGCCCGCCGTCGCACAAACTCTACAAACCCTTCGCGCACCGGCCCCCCCCCTGCGAGCTCGCGCAGCGCCATCTCATCCACGGCGCTGCTGCGAATGAAGCGCGGCCCACGCGTGAGCCCAGGGCGAGCTTCGCGCGCTTGTCCAAGAGCGCACTGATGCCGCTGGGCAAAGCAGGCGAAACTGCCTGCCTCAAGATATTGCTGCTCCTTTCCAAATACTTCTCGGCGACAGCCACCTTGATGTGGTCGTTGTTGAAGCGCGCGCTGATGATGCTGAACTGCCCAGAACCCGCCGCCGCGCGGTTCCCGAACGCGCCATCGACAGCGCGATTGGCGCGCAGGCGCGAGGCCGCGCCCCCCTTTCCACTGAGCTGCCTTGAAAGTCTTGAAGGGGCGCAGGAGGCGCCCGCCACCGCGCTCACGAACGCCGGCCTCGCCGCGCCCCACTCGCCGGGCCAACTCGGACTTCGCCGCGGCCGCGTCGCCGCGCGGCGAGGCGCGCGGCGCGCGAGCCCCTAGGGATTTTGACCTGAGACTCGTCGCCCGAGACATCTGCACCGTCTGCGACGACGAGCTCATCGCCACCCGCCCTGGCCGGCCCTTCCCCCGCGCCAGCTTGCAAGTCCAGCAGCGGCCGCATTTTGAAGTCAGCGGCGCCGCCCTCGACCCGCCGCCCATCCGGCGAAAAGGCAACCGGCGCTGAGAAATCAGCGGCCGCGCGCGCCGCGCCAAAAAGGGAAGCCCAAGCCATGGGCGCGCGATCTTTCGAATGCCGCGCCAGCGCCCGTAGCTCCGCAAGCGCAGCGGGGGCGCGGCGCGGGCGGCCGGCGCCCGCCGCGCGGGCAATCCGGCGGCCTCGCGCGTCACATGGCAACCTTAAAACCAGATTCAATGACGCCCTGCGCAAGGCCGCAACCTCCTTATAGCTTCTCGCCCCCTGGAAAAAGCCGCAGCTTTCTCGGCCGCGCCCTGCCCCGGCGCCCCCGCGCGCCTGCCCGCGGGGTCGACTGCGCGAGAGCCCGAGGGGCAGAGCTGCAGTTTGTCATGAAGATGCCGCGCGAGACAAGGTCGTCGCTGCCATGTCGATGAGCTCCTGGAGGCTCGCATCGCAGCCCGCAGCCTCGGCGACGCGGCGCTCGGAGTTAGAACGCATTGCCTCGACGGCCGCCCATCCGCCCGCCCAGGCGCGCGCGGGACGTCGGCGCGCGCGGGCGCGCGCTTCATCGGCCCCCCGCGCAGAAGTGGCGCAGGCATCGCGCCCCTGCCGGCGATGGGCAGTGCAAGACGCCCCGGCCCATTCAAACCCCTGCTTCGCTGCCCCCCCCCCCTCCTCATCCGCCTCAATTCCCCGCTTTTCCGCGCAATTGTTCAGCGGCGCTTTCCCCGGATATAGCAAGGTGGCGCAGCTGCCCCCCCTCCTAATCCAGATTCCAGAAGATCGATGACA